TAAGCAGTGGGAGAGTCCTACAGTGGCTCAGTTTTATAATAGAAAGAGCACTCTGTGCTGTTGACGGTAAAGGTGCCTGTTCATGTGTTTGCTGCAGAAGAATGTGTGCAGAGATTTATTTCTTCTTCTTGTCCTTCCTGTATAATACGGACCGCCTTGGCGTTTTGATAATATTATATTGTGCTTGTCATGTGGCAAGTGTAAAGAGCTATATGTGCAGCTTAAAACCGAATTGTAATTCATATTTGTATTTGAAGTGCGTGTTCACGATGCTTATACCTTATTTAACTGATTATCATACATATCATATTACCACTTTACATTATCTACTATGATATATATGTAGTAAGGATTACTAGTGACTTCTTTACTGGTGTAATTGTGTGGGCCATTGGATCAGGCCTTATACTGCATCTGATATGCTGATACTTGTGACTTTTATTTGGTAATGCTATTGATGTTTAAAACATTGCACTGTGTTATTGTCTATACGAACAAACATAAAGTACTGTCATAATTTGAATTGTACTGGGTCTTTGTTTTAAGCAAATTTTACTATTTTGTAATATATTATGACAACTACATGTATAGCATTGCAAGGTTGAAATGAGCACAAACTTTACCTCCTACTGGTTAGATTTCATTTTGTAAAAGGCACTATTTTGAAGTAAGGTTTTTTTCTTCTCCTTTTATGTAACTTTTAGGACATTTGTAAAGGTATAGCACAAAGTCATTATAGACTAATGAAAGTCTTGTGCTACATGAGCGTTGGATGGTAACACTCATGTATGCCGATTTAGCACAGTGTAGCTGGTGTCGACCGGTGAGTAAAATTAAGGGTTCTTCTGTATTAATGTTGTATCTATTTTATGCCAAGATGTTATTTAATGAGGTAACATGCATTGTAATTATTGGCACTACTGTAAATATTGCTCACTGAATTATATGAATGAATGAATCAAGATCTTTGTAAAATGATGTTGAACAGAAATGAATAGTATTGAATGTTTGATAATTGATTAATTTATAATTAATCTTTATTTGATTGACAGATTTCACTATCAAAGTGAACATGGCAAATTTACTCTCCTTGTCCTACCACACGAAACGCATCTTGACTATTGAAACACAATTAATTGTAACAGATGAATGAAGTAATTTTCAACGAGGCATTGAACAAAGATGTGTGCATTAAATTTCGTGGTATTACAAAAAATGGCCAATTGAATAATAGCTATCGTAACAGAGAGTAGATAAGTAGGTCAGAGTCCTTGAATCGCTGTAAATACTTTCATACTCTTCAGAGTGTCACCATAATGTATATAAACTTTCTAAAGTTAGTACCTGTGCCTTTTATAATTTTTTTGGAAGTATGTACTTGTTTTGAATAAATTTGTCATTCAATATTTGCATCTCCTGTGGTTGTTTCATTGATGGATTTTTTACCTTTCTATTTTTCTTCAATTGACGCATGGCTATACACTTAAGGTGTGTGTGGATAGGCGGGCGTGTGTGCTTGTGTGTATACACGTTGTCATGTACATGAAGAGCTCTGATATTAATATATTTGTTATAATAAGCTGATTTGTTTTGGTCCCAGCTCTTTATATTCTTATAATATAACTAGATTCCTGATATTACATTACAATTTTCTTGTTCCCTAGTAGCTCTTGTGTAGGGCATATTTTGTAAGATGGTGGTGGCTCTTCGTTAGAGTCAACTCTACATCCTGACCTTTGACCCGGCTACCTGGGTCTTGAACCCAGCAAGCACTACTATACAATTTTTTTTTAAATGAATAACACCTACATTTTTGCCTGGCAACATCGATTTAACGGTCACAGGCAACGAAAGGAAGCTGTGTAAATAAATGTCGACTCTTCGAGGAGCATTGTTGAAGAAAAATGAAACACTGAAAAGAATTAATCAATATTTGAGCCAGAGAATAGGAAACAGCGCCATCTAATCATCATTGATGAATAACCCGAAAAACAGTATTGCCAGGCGGAGATAATCTCTTCAGATTGGTGACCACAACCGGATTCGACAGTGAACAATATTTAGTCGAAAGAATTGCCGTATGTTTATATTCGCATGTGAGTGAAACCGCCTGATAATCTGAAATACAATAAAAAAAAAATCTAGACGATTTGTACATTTTTAATTCTTAATAAATCTTTTCTATACCATCAACATTCATGTCCAACTTATAGTGACCTCAAATAGCTTCAAACATGAAGCTGAAATACAAGTTTGTGCAATAAAGAATGTACACATACTAGACTGTAACTAAATATACGAATCAAAATACTCTGTTACGGCTAAACATGGAAGAGAGGGAGAGATATATATTTATAAAGAAAGGGGGGAGAGGAAATTAAATAGATGGATAGATAGATAGACGTATATGTTGGGTGATGGATAAAGAGTCAGAGAGAGATGAAGAGAAATGGAAAAAGAAAGTGAGATTGAGATAGAGAGAGAAAGAGAGGGAAAGAGAGAGAGAGAGAGAACGAGATGTAGAGAAAGAAGATTGAGAAATAAACTAGAATAGATTAAAGACCACCACACACCTTCCGTCCTCCAATCCGATTTTCGAGGAAATTACAATTTTATAGCATAGGAGCAAATAAAATGAGCACTTATCAAAAGGTAAGAAGGGGCCATTTATGAAAAAGGGAAGAGGTTCTTATTTTTAAGAAAATGAAAGATACACTCATCAGTATAGGAAAAAAATGCACTTATTAGGCAGGAAAAGGGGCACATGTCAAAGTAAACAGGGCGATTATCAGAGGTGAAAAGGGGCATTTGTGGAAGGAAAAGGGGCACTTTTCCGCACCTGAAAGTAAACACCCACCACAGATGAAAAGGCGCACTCACCACGATCATTCACATTTTACATGTTTTAATGTTCATATAAAATGCGCTAGCTGTGGTAAATTCTTCCAAAATCGGATCGCATTCGGATCGTGTAGTGTGCGCTGAGCCTTAGAGACTGGTATGTGTTTCATTCATACTTCTTTTGTCTGTCCTAGTCGACTAGCTGCGCCTATAACGACAGGGTGGCAATACAAAAACGGACTAGCATACTCCCGATAATGCAGAGCAAATTTTACCGGTATCAGTAGATGGTGAATCTTTTGAAAAGAACATAATAGTAGTAATATAATAATAATAATAATAATATGTCCATTTATATACTACACCGGCTGTATTACATGAAGCCGCACGAGCCCCCATGATAAGGGGCTCAAACATTCAATGAAGTTTGTTCTACTAGAAACCCATTCACTTCACCTGGGTGGAGAGTGGTAATTGTAGAATATATTTTCTCGCCAAAGTACATTAGTGCTGCAAGGCGGAACTCAAACCGCGAGCCATTTGATCCACAGTCCGATGACGGGTATTTACTATAGACCACGACACCAACACAAACCAAATTTCGTATTTTAGGGATAATAAGATCCACTGGCAGTGCTCCAAGCAAAAATCACGTATTATTGTTGAGTTTCAGAATGATATTAAAGGTATTACAAAGTTTTGGTAAGGGGTCATGAATTTGGTTTAAATTAACATATTGGAAGCATATGCGTTCCTACAATATTCATTGATTGTTGTCGCGGTTGAAATCGAGTCTAAAGTTATGAAATTATAAATAATAAACTCTTTATGTTGTATAGCTCCCTCTCAAGGTCAAGATATTAATTTAGCTATGAAACAATGTTTACTGACTAAATTCGACCAATTACTTATTCCCGTTTGGAAATTATACATCACAACTACATATTCTGATATTTTCATAGTCGCAGCTACCATTGTACGGCCATATAGGCGATATTTGAAATTTATCAAAATTTACCGGGAGCACCGGTAAATTTTTATATTCAATTTTTCTCGAAAACAGAAGTGTTTTAGGGGCTAATATTTTTAGTGCTTATAATACATCCACAGGGGCATCCAAATATATCAAAATTGTAAAGATTCACTATCCACCCAATTTTCACATTTCCCAAAACTTTGTATTACCTTTAATGCAAGCATTGGTGAAGCTGTAAAAACATCAGATTGAACTTAAATTAACTTTCTAAACAATATTTTTACAGGCGTTTTTAATGATTTTAACGAAGACATAAAATATTACTCATGTTTTTAAATGCTGTTTCCGTAATATCGAACAAAATGGAAATCCTATGAATTATTGCATCACAAAATGCTCCCCAAAACAAAAGAACCTCTACCAAATGTGTAAATGTTGGTAGCATATGTTTCACGAGAACATATTCTTCTTCCTCATGTCATTCCAGTTCCTCTTTTATTTGGCCACCTTGTATAGGCCTATTGTCGACTATTTATTGAGCCGAGTACAAAAGTAAACAGAAACTAAATTCATGTCATATTTCCATTTCTACAATATATGATTGTGCGAAAGCAGCTAGCATAATTCACAGGCGGGTGAGGGACGGTTGAGTGCGTTGTGTTCATAGTGCAACAACTCGGAATGGAGCTGCGTGCATTGTAGCCTGAGTGTATCGAAAGTCATAGCATAAACGTTTCGTATGAGATCGCGCTGTTTTTCTTTAATTCGGAATAACAACATTGCCACATAAGTAGGCCTAGGCCACCGTGAAAATGGACTACGGTCATATTCGGTAATGGAACGTACCGATGCAGCTGAAATGAACATTTAATAGAATATACAATGGGAGGAAGTGATCTCCTTTGTGGGCAAGAATACATTTGCAGGTGCATTACATAAACCACTGCCAGCCGTAATACTCGGAGCAGACAACGAGCGGCACGGTATAGCCTATAAATATCTATCTTCGTCTCATATCTTCGAGCCGTTAGGGGCGAAAATGAAATCGACCTTCGGACACAGCTTCTCCATAACGCCATGTCTTCAACTGTTCTAGTTGGCTGATCAAATAAACTATACTTCAGTTAAAACAATCTTGATATTACAGGCAGACACTTAGACTAGTTGAATTCTTATCATAGATATGAATAGGTTTAACAGAGCAGAAGTTTGTGAGGCTGATATCCGTAGGGCTGATGAGGACAGATCACCTCTCCATGCGGCATCTGCCGATGGTCACTATGATGTTGTACGGGCTATCATTTTCCAAGGAGCAGATCTAAATAGTGTTGATATCTGTGGCAGGACACCTCTCCACGTGGCATCATCCAATGGTCACCTACGTGTTGTACAGTTTCTCACTATCCATGGAGCAGATCGAGATAGGGCTGATTCTGATGGCAGGACACCTCTCCACATGGCATCATCCAATGGTCACCGAGATATTGTACAGTTTCTCACTTGCTATGGAGCCGATCGAGGCTAATAATCATTTGATGTCACCTCTGCACGCGGCATCATACACGGGATCTCTTTTGCGAAGGAGCAGGTCTGAATATAACTGATATTTATGGCAGAACACCTCTTTACGTGGCATCATCGAATGGTCACCTCGATGTAGTACTGTATCTCGTTGGCAAAGGAGCAGTACTGAATAGTTTGAATAGTTCTTTGTATTGTGTGAAAAGGTTGTCACCTCTCTACACGGCATCATCCAATGGTCACCTCGATGTTGTACAGTATCTCATTGGCCAAGGAGCAGATCTAAATAGGGCTGATAATGATGGCAGGACACCTGTCCACGCGGCATCATCCAATGACCACCGCAATGTTGTACAGGCTCTCATTGGCCAAAGAGCAGATCTAAATAGGGCTGATAATGATGGCAGGACACCTCTCCATGCGGCATCATCCAATGGCCACCGCAATTGTTTACAGGCTCTCATTGGCCAAAGAGCAGATCTAAATAGGGCTGATAACGATGGCAGGCCACCTCCCCACGCGGCATCATCCAATGGTCACTGCGATGTTGTACAGGCTCTCATTGGCCAAAGAGCAGATCTAAATTGGGCTGATAATGATGGCTGGGCACCTATCCACGTGGCATCATTCAATGGTCACCTCGATGTTGTACATGTTCTTATTGGCCACAGAGCGGATCTGAATAGGAATAACAATGATGGCAGAAAATCCTTCCAAGCGGCATCATCCAATGGTCACCACGATGTTTTACAGATTCTAATTGGCCAAGAATCAGATCCAAATAGGGCGAATAATGATGGGATGCCACCTCTTTGTACGCAATTAATTGATAATGGTAAGTTCAGTTGGTATTCGAAGGTTTGGGTTTGTGTACTGTTAATTTCTTTGACATTTCCTGTTGAGAATCCATTAATATCATTATTCATTTAGGAAAATAACTAAATCAAATGATGACACCAGGAATTTAAGTGGAGATGACCATTACGTCGGTGTTAGATTCAAGGTCATTCTATTGAGCGGACGAAGTCAAAAGCCACTGTCCTTTGTTAAAAGAACATCACATGTTTATATAGGCGTTAATTACTTGTGATGAATGTATTATATAACATGTACAGCCACTATATTGTTTTTGCATATCATCTTGTATTAATATACTTGTCAGTTCCAGAATATCTGTCATATGACAATATATGCAGGATAGTGGTACAATATCCTTTTGTTTACCACCAGCAATACATACCACATCCTAACTTCATTACACAATACTCTTAATTTATACAGTTGCATTTTTGTGTGAATGAACTTGTGAGGACTCCACACAGATTTATTCCCACATGCATGTTATAACCAGGTCATAAATGATGTCAAATTCATTAATTACTTTAAACTAATTGTGTTACGAATGCTATGATAATTACATTGTGTTAAATTCCTATTTACTTGTATGTCATTCCCAGATATGATCCCCGGGGCAATAATCCTCTAACAACTTTTTGTTTTATTGTTCTGTACTCTTAAAACTTTATCATTATTTTGTTTAGTTACATACCAAAGATATATATATATATATTAAGCAAATAATAACCGTTGGTGAAGGTGGGACAAACTATCACTTCCGAGGCGATCTGGATGTAGCTATCTTTCCGAAGCGAAGCTGAGGAAAGATAGCGTATATATTCTGACCGACGAGGAAGTGATAGTTTGCCATCGCCTGAAAAAAAGGTGATTATTTGCTTTATATTCCACATCTAAAAAAATTAATTACAAAAAGAAAAGGACGTGTACGCATCTTAATAAAAGTCACCTAGGCCCAAATTCACGCCAAAAAGGTTTTAGTTTAACCCAGCCCCTTGAAGGTAAGGTGCGCGCATGTGTTTTCTTTAATTGCGCTCATTGGTAATGCGCGCTTAATTACGCTGTTTTAGTGCGCTTTTGGATAATCTTCAGTAAAAGTGCGTTGCCCTGTGTAGATACTACCTCTATCTTCAGTGAAATTGCGTTGCACTGTGTAGATAGTAGTACTATCTACACAGTGTAACAAACTTTTTGCTTCTCCCATCAATAATGGGCGAACTATCTTTCACCACGTGATTTACTTTTGACCAATCGTAGAGCAAGATTATTAGTATGTGGAATATAAATATATATATATATATATCCTCCTTTTAAGTATCAAATTGCATTAATATTTGTATATTTTATGTCTGTTATTCATTTCATTCATGTTTTGTGTCAATTGTAACCTTTGTGTGGAAACATATCAAATGATGTGTCATATATGCAGGAATGAGACTTGAACATTTAATGATTGTAGTGCTTCTGTAATAAGCGAAAAACAACTGTAATTATGCAAATTGGTATTTTCCCCATACATTCACACTATATTTGAATTAGATATGCTGGATGACAATGATTTCAAAATGATGAATTTACTCCAAACTTTGAGTGACTCGATGAAATAAGTGGTTTTCAAAGTTAGGTCTTAGATGATGATGATGAGACTATTATGTACTGAAAATTGTTTAAATTGAAAATGTATTAAAAGGATGATGTTCTAGTGACTTCAAAATTGTGGATAAAAACTTTTTTTTTTAATTTGGCATGTTAATGCTCGTAGCTTAATCAAACAATTTGTTGCAATATCTGACTTCATCCTAACGCTTTCTTATACTTAAGGTTACATGTAAACCAAATGAAGCATTAGATTCTTAACAAATAAAGTACTAAATACATATTCAAGCAACTGTATCAATCGTAGCACGATCTCACAAAAAAGTGTAATAGGAAGTTGTTAGTGTTCCGTTGCCTTAAGAAGTATGGATTGCCTCTAGATGACCTTTACTTATATAAAAAGGATACATTCGTTTGATTTTAGATTATGGGGTACCTGTTTTTAAAGATAATTTAACAAAAACGCATGTATACACTTTAGAACGTTTTCAGAAAAGAGCTTGTAAAATCATTTAGGTCGTCAGTATGAAAATTATGAAATTTGGAAACGTGCAATCTGCGTTCATTAGAAGCAAGACGTGAGCAGTTACAGGAGCGTACGCAGGGGTAGGTTTTGGGATTAACCTCCCCCCTTGATTTTTTGTTATGTGTATGTGTTGTGTATGTTTTTTGTATGTTTTTTGTGACCCCCCCCCTTCTTTTTTTTTTTTTTTAATAAAAAAATAAAAATAAATAAATAAAAATTATGCCAATGGCTGACCTACAAAAGGTGACCTTACCCCCCCCCCAACGGAACATATATCAAATTTTCAAATTTCGAGACAAAAAAAAAAAAAAAGTGTCCTCTTACCCCCCCCCCCCCCCCCCCCCCCCCCAGGGATGCCAGTGTTTGATTTTTTTTTTTAATGGACTCCAAAAAAAAAAAAAAAAATGTCCGCTTAACCCCCCACCCCCCCCTCCCCCCCCTCCCCCCCCCCCCCCACACTGAGCGACTTTTCGGCTTGCTGAGTCGTTTCGATTTTGTTTGGACTACCAAAAAAAAAAAAAGTGTCCGTTTACCCCCCCCCCCCCCCCCCCCCCCCCCAACTGAGCGACTTGTTGGCCGGCGCGATTTTCAAATTTTCTGGAGCAAATTTTGGGCCCGATTTTAAAACCCCTCCCTTGAAAAAATCCTGCGTACGCCACTGAGCAGTTATGTATAGACTTTCCAATGCTCTTGCCAAACACCCACAATTTAAAGAATGTTTACGTCTTAGACAAAAAAGCACTTATTCTCTAACATCTCAATCAAAGTTTAAACAATACAAATTTAAAACAAAACGCTTCCAGTGCAGCTCTCTTCCTTACTTTATAAATCTTCTTAATAAAATGTAATACCAATATAAATTGTATTTTTAGAATTTCACAGTCCATGATTAAACTATGTGAATGAATTTTGATATTTTGTTATCTCTTTTTTTTTCATTACTGAATATTCCTTGCCATCTCCCCTCATCTGTAATGATAAGGTACCCTTTGTCTGTCTCTTCCCCTCTTCTTCTCTCTCTCTCCTTCTCTCTCTTTCTTTCTCTCTTCCTCTCTTTCACTCTCTTTTTCATCACTCCAACTCTCCCTCTCCTACACATCTCCCTTTCTCTTTCTTTTTTAACAAAAATTTGAATTTGCTTCAATTGACCATTTTCGTAATGTCATCAAATTTAATGCACAACAGTTACGACTTTTTCTACCTAACAACACGGAATGTATGCAATTTGCATTCTGACTATTGAAATACAATTATGTTTTACAAGTAATTAAATCATTTGCAACAAGATACTTAACAAAGATTTGTGCATAAAATTAAATGATATTACTAAAAATGACCTATCACAGAATAGCTTTCAAAGTAGACAGGAAGTAAGTAGGAGAGAGTCTTTAAATCACTGTAAATACTATCCTTTTCTTCAGAGTGTCACCACAAAGTATATACATGTTATGAAGTTAGTAACTGTGCATTTTATCAAGTTTTGGGGAATACTGGTTTTGAATAAATCTTGTCATCTAATACTTGTATCTCCTACGGTTGTTTTATTATTTCATGTTAACCTGTCTGTTTTCGTTAACTGACGCGGGAGTATATACTGTGTGTGCGTGTGTGTTGGTGTGTGCCTTTGTGTGTGTATACACGTGTATATATATATATATATATATATATATATATATATATATATTGAATAAGGCAGACTAATGGAACATGTTTGCTGCTCCGATATATGAATATATATATATATATATATATACATCTACAGATTCCCCTATTTCATCCCAGATGCCTACCACAAATCGCAATTTATTGCTGAAATATTATCAAGAGAAAGGAAGAAACAATAGAATATTCATTACAAAATAAAGTACAAAATAAAGATGAATAAGGTAGACACTATTTTCTGACAATAGACAATTTATATATGGTTAATCGGTACTGGAGGATTAACATGAACAATTAATACACAATTACAGGAACGAATTGTGTCCTGTTCATTCCATGTTAATGTTTTCTCACTGTTTTCAAGAATATATAATATAATATCATTTTTGTCGTGCATGGTTTATCTAGCTCCATGTCTCATGATACGTTGTAGTAACAATTGCTTTATTTTTGCCATAATAATTCTCCATTGCTGCTTTTTAATACGACTTTGATGTACAGGAGCAAATTAATCTGTCACGACTCATGATAAATTCGTTTATCAATTGATTCTACCTGATTGATTCCACTGTTCGCAGGATTTTGCAAAGAGAGATAGTCTAGATGTGATCATTCTAACGAATAACACCAATATATTATACTTATTTGTTCATTGTCGTTCAGTGATATTTGAATAAACAATTTTGTTATGATAGGCCTCCTAAGAGCAGTTCAATTGTTGTAAAGAAATTATTGGCTTGCACCCGGTAAGTCCCTCTGAATCCCTGTTTAAAAAAAAAAATACAGGTATTCAATAACAACATCGAGCACTCGATCTTAATCTACAAAGTGCAAGCTAAACATTTTTTACAACAATAAACATCACTTTGGTACTATCACATGGCAATCACATGGAATATACATTTATTAGTACCAGGTTTAATACAGTTAAAGAAAACTGAAATTAAACCCCGCACAACCCCCACCCCCTCTCTATCTCTCGCAATAAGATTAAGGAAAAGCATTCACGCCGTCCCTGAAGCTACGTCACTGACTTAAAACTTCATCCATTTTATTCCTTCCAGACAGTAGGTCTTACAAGTAAAATATAAACTGGAACATGAATGATGAAGTAAATGCTTGTTATAGCTACTGTTTCCCAGGTTTGAAATCGAAGTTTATGATTATTTTACCATATTGATGATGAAAATGAAATT